TCGCATTTTAAGTGACAAGATTCAGCTCGCTTACAAAAATAAATAGCTTCATATCTTGAAGTGGAGATTTACCTAGTGCTTTTTCTCATACTTAGCTAAAGAAGCAACATGGAGTGAAGTAGACATACCGTAGGAATTAAGAGCAAAAGTTTCAATAATAATACTGTTATAATATATTTTGTAAGCGGATACATGAGTTGACTTAAGTCGTGCTAGGCACTGTCCTAAGAAACTATTTCAGCAGTATGAAATATCTCCCCATGATTAAATAAGTCTGCCTTTATTTAAGAGAATAGAGAAATCAACAAAATATAAAATTACAAATCTAGTTAGTAGAAAGAAAAAGGAAGAACTAGTGTGTAATGCTAATTAAATATTATAGAATTAGAAGGAAGAAGAGGGACGTACGAGAAGATTTCAGATGATTACAATGAATGGCTAATGAAGGCTATTTATAGTCATAAGTGCATGTTTCTATCCTTGTGAATGATTGCAACGTGGCTATCTTCATTTGTCACTTCTCCAAAAGGAAAGTGCCATTTATCTGTAGGCTTAAAGGTTGGCTGCCACATTTTGGGTAGTAAGACCACTTGTCTTTTACCTTTTCATGCAATGACATTTGTCAAACAATTATATATAAATCCTTTTAAAATATTAATACAATTTGGCTGACAAATAATACAGTATTTTAAAAGATTTTATTTTTTGGAATAAAAGTAAAATTTGCTGGATTTGTTTGATCCAAATATAATAGGTTTGGTGTCTTTTGGACTATGAACCAAACTTAGATCAATAAAACTTAACTCACAGAATTACTGGTGAAATATAATATTTCTATGAACCAATAATTCTTATTGTAAGTCAGAGATTTTATTAATCACATTTTGACCCCCGTAATTTTGTTGTTCAAAGCGGTTTTGCGCCACTAGGCCATGCGCATGCCTGGTAATTCATGAAAGCTCTAGAGACTAGGCCAAAATCTCATAGGAGCGGCCCATTCCACTCTCATATAGGTGAATTCATCAAGTGTATACTGCTATTAAATACACCATAAGGACTATGAATTTCATTAAGATTTATTACTCATCCTCTCAATTAGTAGCAGTCAAGCACTCTCTTTTAGTGCTTCAGTGCCAATATCGACTTGTTATTACCTATATGAACCTACTTCATCGGATCTCCAACCACATAGGTTGGGTTACCATCTCTATTGACAACATGTCGGCCTTAACCCCATCTCTTTTGAGGTTTGAAAAATTAATTTTCTTCCCACAGGTTTAGTCAGAGGATCGGCCAAATTTATCTCTGACTTTACATAGTCAATGAAAATTATTCCATCTCTCAACAGTTGTTTTATGACATCACGTCTCAATTTCATGTGTCTACTTTTACAATTATAAGATTTATTCTTTGTTATAGCTATTGCCGCTTGGAAATCACAGTGTATAGACACAGGAGGCAATACGTCCTTTATCAAAGGGATATTAGCTAAAAAGTTTCTTAGTCACTCAGCCTTAGAACCAGCTAACTCCAGATTTACAAACCCCGATTCTATAGTCGATCTAGCAATGATCGTCTGTTTAGCTGATTTCCACGATATGGCACTACCACCAAGGGTGAATACATAACCATTAGTGGATTTTGTCTCATCTGAATCAGAGATCTAGTTTGCATCACTGTACCCTTCTAAGGTAGAAGGAAATCCACTATATAGGATACCATAATTCATGGTTCCTCTCAAATATTTCATTAGTCTATCTAATACAGACCAATGATCCTTGTTGGTATTATGAGTATATCTACTCAGTCTACAGACAGCATAGGCTATATCAGGCCTTGTAAAATTCATTAAATACATCAGACTCTCAATAATCTGTGCATATTTAGACTGAGCAACTGGGTCACCATTATTCTTTTTCAACTGAGAGTTAGCATCAAAAGGAGTGCTCACGGGTGTGACATTAAAATATTCAAACTTCTTAAGAAGTTTCTCAACATAATGTTGTTGTGACAACATTATTCCATCTTCACTCCTTATAACTTTAACTCCCAATATTGTATTTACTTCACCCACATCTTTCATATCAAAATTAGCAGACAAAAATAATTTAGTACTTTGCACAATATTTAAACTTGTACCAAATATAAGCATGTCATCAACATATAGACATATTATCACATAATCATTGTCTACTACTTTAGTATAAACACATTTATCCACCTCCACTGAAGAAAAACTGTCTCTCAGTAAGACTTGTTCAAATTTCTTATACCACTGCTTGTTTAAGGCCATAAAGAGATTTAATTAATTTAGAAACTTTATTTTCTTGTCTAGGAATGACACAGCCTTCAGGTTTAACCATATAAATTTCTTCTTCTAAATCATCGTTTAGAAAGCAGTTTTGACATCCATTTGGTGGATAAAAAGCTTACGGATTGAAGCTAAGGCAATTAAAACTCGAATAGAAGAAATTCTAATCACTGGTGCAAATGTATCAAAATAATATATATTTTGTTTTTAAGAAAATCCTTTTGCTACTGATAGTAAGATATAATTATGTAGTTTAGCTACTATTTGCACTCTAACTTAGCTGCACTTTATTGATATTTGAATGTTAAATGATAATAAATTGCTCTAATTAAGAACTTTATGCTTTGCAGGAGTAATTTCGGGCTATGAGGATGTTAAAGAGTATTTTGGAGCTAATATGGAGCATTGAAGGTCAATTGGAGGTTAGCGCGCTTAAAATGAAGAAAGAAACAAAGCTGCAGAAAATCCTCCGGGTGCGTGGTCTATGCGCGGCCGCGCACGTGCTTCCGACAAAAATCGTTCAAGGCCAATTTTGTAATTTGAGAGGCAATTAACCTTGACCTATATGAAGCCCAACTCGCCCAGAAAGAGGGTATCTCTATTTTTAGAAGAACTTGGGAGGCAAGAACACAAAAGAAGCAAGAAGGGAAATTCTCCTATGAGTTGTTCATCTTCTTCTTCTTAATTCCATTGTTGGTTATGACTTCTTATATTATAATCTTGCATAGTAGCATGAGTAGCTAAACCCGTCATCTAGGGTTGATGGAACTAATTGTTGGATAAAGTCTTGATTACGTTTTGATATAATTGAGCTATTTTTACTCTATAATTGTTCAACTATATATTTTTTGTGATTAATTGATAGGGCCCTTGATTAATTGTGTCTAGTTGTCTAGTGTTGCTTGAGAAAGAATACTTGATTAGATTGTTGTTGAACAATGCCACTTTCGAGTAAGTTAAGAGATTAATTACCTGAATTTAAAAGCGGGATTAGAGATAACGAAGCTTTGGTATGATATTTATGAGTTGTACAAATTATCAACTAGAGTAGTTCGAGAGAATGCTTCTAGTAAATTATCGTAATTGAACGAGAGATAAGTACGGTAAGCAAGAACTCATCATCTTTATAGAGTGTTACAGTGAGATTATAGCTAACGTGTTAGGAATTAATCCGAAAATTGGGAAAATCAATAACCCTAGATTCCTTTACCCTTGAATTCAACTTCATTCTTGCTTATTGATAGTTTTTATTGTCATTTTTTCTTAGTTAAATAATTTCTGTTAATTATCAAATAAAATCTTGAACTTTGAAAATTGTCTGAACTTATCATTAGCGATACTAAAAGTTGTAGCAAATAGATTAGTTCCATGTGGGATTCGACTTCGGACTCTTGAACCTGATTATTTTTGCAGCGACTGCGTAATCTTTTTTATAAGGCATAGCTGAGCGTGATTAGCTACTAACCGAGCTTTATATTTATCTAAAGATCCATCAAGATTAAATTTCTTTTTAAAAATCCATTTAGAACCAATAGGCTTTGCACCATAAGGTAAATCAGTTAAAATCCATGTGTTATTTTTCAAAATAGAATCAACTTCCACTTTTATTGTCTCTTTCTAATAATTAGCTTCTGAAGAAGATATAGCTTCAAAATAATTTGATGGTTCATTATTGATAAGAAAAGTCTGAAAATTATTTTCATAAGAAAAATATTCTTTTTTAGGCCTTTTGCTCCTTCTCAGTTCCTCATTAGAGGTAATTTTATTATTTATTTCAATAGGTTTATGAGAAATTTTATCAGATAGTGGATAAATATATTCAAAGAACCCAGCATTCTTTATTTCAATTATAGTATTGCAATCAAGCACATTACTTTTTAAAATAAGAAATCTATATGCAGCACTATGTTCAGCATATCCAATAAGTATGCAATCGGCAGTTTTAGAACCTATTTTTCTCTTTTTAGGTTCAGGCAAAAGAACTTTAGTAAGGCACCCCCACACTTTTAAATATTTTAAGTTAGGTTTATAACCCTTCCACAATTCATAAGCAGTTTTGTCAGTTATGCTATGTAGTATTCTATTTTGTAAGTGACATGCAGATAATATAGCTTCACCCCACAAATTATGAGGTGCATTAGAACTAACTAGCGTAGAGTTCATCATCTCTTTTAATATTTTATTTTTTCTTTCAGCTACTCCATTTGACTCGGGTGAATAAAGTGAAGTTACTTTATGAATAATCCCATTCTTTTCACAAAAATTATTTAAAAAGAAATATTCTCCACCTCTATCATATTTAATTCTCTTGATTCTTCTACTAAGTTGATTTTCAACATAAGTTTTATAAGAAATAAAAGCATTAAAGGCATCATCTTTATTTCTAAGCAAATACAACTTAGTAAATCTAGAAAAATTATCAATAAAAGTCACATAATATCTTTTACCACCTCTAGTCATAGTCTGCTTTAAATCACCTAAATCAGTATGAATCAAGGATAGTAATTCAGTTTTTCTATTTAGAGAAAAACAAGTCTTTCTAGTACTTTTAGCTTCAGTACATATTTCACACTTGTCTATATTGTTTGAGTCTAAACCAGATATTAAGCTTAGTGACTGCATTTTTCTTATATATGCAATATTAATATGTCCTAGTCCAGCATGCCATAAAGAAATAGACTCAACCATATAAACAGAAGCAGATACATTTCCATTGATAACATCAGAAACATTAAGTACAAAGAGTCCTTGGTTACAATAGCCCTTTCGCACAAACACATTATTTTTGGTCATTATGATCTTATCAGATTCAAATGACACTTTCACTCCGGCTCTTCCCAATAAGGATACAGAGATCAAGTTTGCCCCCATAGTAGGAACATGCAGTACATCAACAAGGGCTAAAGTTTTTCCCGAAGTGAGTTTCAGGAGAACTTTACCCTTACCCAAGACTTTCGTAGTACTTGAGTCTCCAAGGTAGACCTCTTCTCTATCATCCTCTACAGGAGTATAAGAGGAAAATGCTTCTCGATTTGCACATATGTGCCGAGTAGCCCCGGAGTCTACCACCCATTCTTTTGCATATGCTACAATGTTTACTTGAGAAATGACAGCTGCAATAATATCACCTCTTTAAGCTAAGTTAGCCTTAGGAGTATTAGTTTTTCCTTTGTCATTTCCTTCTTTGTACCTGCACTGTGAGGCATGATGGCTTGGTTTTCCACAAATAAAACAAGAGCCTTTTTTTCTTTTAAGGTTAGAATTTTTAGGCTTGTAACCTTGAGACTTATTCTCGTACCTTTTGCGGTTGTTATTGCTGCTCTGCACTAAATTTGCTTTAAGAGCTATCATCCTAGCTTTGGCAGACTCTTTTCGGTTGGAATCTTCAATTAGGATGTGGGTCACAATTTTCTCAATGGTGAAATTTCTCTGTTTGTGCTTGAAGTTATTTTTATAGTCCCATGAGTCAGGCAGCTTCTCAATCAACACTCCAGCAGCAAACTTTTCTGGTAAAGACATCCCCTCGGTCTTCAAATCTTCTAGCAATTTTTGATATTCGTTGATTTACACGTTCATCTCTTTGAAATCTCTCAACTGCCACTGATAAAAATTTTCTACTACAAATTTTTGTTTTGCAGCATTTTCAGCAGTGAATTTTTTAATTAAGGCTTCCGAGGTACCTTTTGCTTCCTTATAACTGCAATACACGTCAAACAGTTCATTAGAAATAGTTTTCAATATGGTATGACGGCATACCTTGTTGGCATGTTGCCATGATTTCACTATTTTATTATCAGTGTTTGCACTAGGTTGTGGATACAACAGTGCATGTGCAATACCATGGATATCAAGCAGTGAGAAAATACGTTCTTGCCAACGCTTGAAATTTTCATTGGCGAAAATTTCAATTTTTGACACATCTGGAAATGGCCTGGCATATGGTAGTGCAACTAGGGTTGGAACAGCAGAGGTAGCGCCAATATTGGTAGTATCAGTAGTATTTTATGCATCAGTGTTGTTTGTCATAGTTTCTTAGATTGTAGGAAGTGAGAGCAAAAGTTTCAATAATAACACTGCTATAATATTCTTTGTAAGCGGATACACGGGTTGACTTGAGTCGTGCTAGGCACTGTCCTAAAAAACTATTTCAACAGTATGAAATGTCTCCCCAGGATTAAATAAGTCTAACTCTATTTAAGAGGATACATGAATCAACAAAATATAAAATTACAAATCCAGCTAGTAGAAAGAAAAAGGAAGAACAAGTAGTGTGTAATGCTAATTAAATATTATAGAAAAGGAATTAGAAGGAAGAAGGACGTATGAGAAGATTTGAGATGATTAGAATAAATGGCTAATGAAGGCTATTTATAGCCATAAGTGCATGTTTCTATCCTTATGAATGATTGCAACGTGGCTATCTTCATTTGTCACACATTTTGGGTAGTAAGACCACTTATCTTTTACCTTTTCATGCAATGACATTTGTCAAACAATTATATATAAATTCTTTTAAAATACTAATACAATTTGGCTGACACATACTATGTCTCCAGTTATTTTATGTGACAACTACTGTTCCGCCAAGCACTAATAGGAAAAAGCAATAAGCATTGGAAAGGAGTAATCAAAGTTAAAAGAAAAGGCAGCTACGAGAATTATCAATTCTGGTCTCGAGCATAAACAATGGAGTAACATTAGTACCAGAATGATTACTCTCTCCAGAGAGATTTTCAACAAAGTGTTTAAGTCCGCTATGAGATCACTCAATTTACAACAAGCAGGACTCACCTCTACATGACACTAAACCACGAGACAGCAGAAATAAATTCTAATCAGAAGATTAGGAAAAATAGCCAAAGATAGTTGTATCATGCTGTCCAATGCTGTTTGCCTGTTACCAACAGCTATTTGATATTTCATATTCATCCGAACAATCTTGCTTTATATGCGACCACGGAGTAGAGCATCTTTTTTTAGAGAATCACATTGATCAATATACTTAGAGAATGTTGTTACCACTGACTCTGAGGCCCATTATGACATTAATGCTCCCAAATTGACATTTCCTTCATTATTCATCACTAGTAGCGACAGGGGTTAAATTAGACAGCAACATGGAGGCTGACAAGAGAAATACAGTGCTAACCACAACATAATTACCACCTGTAGAAGTTCGTCTAAGTGAACAATTTCAGCACTGACACTATGCATCAAATCCAAATTCATAAAAACACACACTACACCAACAAGGGGATGCAGCGGCAATAAAAAAGGGAATTAGTGGCAATAACAATAGCCGCTACATCATTTACCGGCCATTGATCTTTAGCCGCTGAAGCTTGATCGGTAAAGCCTTTAGCAGCGTTTATCACAAAAGCTGGTAAAAGGTATGATTTATTGCCGCTAAATATAATTTGCTTTAATGACAATTGTTTGCGACAATTATTATGATTACTAAATCCAAGCTAAAACAGCTACTAATGCTCTTTTAGTGTCCATTTTTATAGCCGCTAAATTCAAAAAAAAAATTATCGCTAAAAGTGTATACCTTTAGTGGTAATTATTTTGTGACAATTAGAATGGCTATAATATCTCTTCTGAAAACGTATTAGTATACCTTTTAGCATCCATTTTAATGGCTAGTAAATTTAATTAAATTGCAGCTAAAAATCATCTTTAGCAGCAATTATAATGGCTACAATATCTCCTATGAAAACATCATAATTTGCACTTTTATTATCCATTTTTATAACCGGTATATCCTATTAAATTGGCGCTAAAAGTCACAAGCTATAACAGCAATAGTTTAGCCACCATTAATAATAGCTACTACATCCATTCAAATAAGGTTCCAAATGACAAAACATAATAATATTAATTCATAAAAACATAATGTATCTCATTAAATCTTAACAAACAAAAGGAAGTACTAACCCAAAATATTAATATCACGGTAACTTAAAAAATAAACTTATACTGTTTGAAGTAAATAGCTAATGTTATTATATGACTAATCCCAACGAATAATAGTCTTCAAGTAATATTTGCAACTCTTCATCATATTAAAATCTTTGACCCGCTAAATTATCGATCATCAAACTGTATGACCTGAAATTATAAAATAACTATGTCAATAAATAAAATATATGAGTACGGTAGATGTATGCATAAGCAAGCAAATCTTCTTCTATTAGCGATCACTAAATATAAGAGGAATACAAGATAGAGATGATAACACCAATGTAGACAACAAAAACATATAAATTTTATGTAAGACTTGGCGGGATTTCACTTAAGAAGAAGCTGTAGTTCTTCTGTAAACCTCAATTTTTGTGCTGTCAAAACACTGCCCCAAGCTAAAGTTTTTTTTTTTTAATGTAGAATAACAGTTCAATTTTTTGTCTCAAAACCAGCTCAAACTATCCAAATTTCCCAGTTGAATTTCAAAACCTAATGTTAACCAACTAGTTCAGAGCTGTTGTATATTGAAAATAATGCAGGAGAAACTAGTTCACAACTGAAGATTACTACTCCGCTAGCTTTCAATGAAGAACCAATTCATACAATCCAAACAGAGATATAATAATACGCGGTAATCTTAAGTAATTCTACTTTCACAAACTAAAGTTAACACATTTCACTGATCAACATTTTGGAAAGATAAATGGCTAGGGAACTATCTTCTAATCAGGTGCGGTGATATTGGGCATATTTCGATATGTGTTGATGTTACTTTACCCATGTTTTAATCGCTTTTTGATGCTATTTAATCTTAAAAATGCCCAACATGGTTTAATTATTAGTTTTATGACTAATTGAGTTGTATGTGATGATTTAGGGTGTTTGGAGTGCAAAAATATGAAGAAAGGGTGCTCTAGCTAGAGGAAGAGGGGTTGGATGCGTCGCATCCAATCTAGAAAAAAATCAAATTTCATGCACCCTTAGCAGTAAAGTCGGCCCATAGCATCCGCCTTAGCATCCGCACCTGGGCAAAGCTGAGATAGAGGAACAAAGGGTGGATGTGAAGCATCCACCCTAGCATGCGAAGCTGAGAAGTGGAGGACGAGGTGGATGCGACGCATCCACCCCAGCATCAATCCCTGAAGCTGATTTGGATTAGAAATAGGAGAACTTTGGCCCACGACTTTTGTACGCAATATATAAGCCAAAAACGCCTCTTTTAGGTCATCTAACATATTGGGAAGGGGGAAAAAGCCACGACAAAGCTTGAGAACCACAGAATTCATCTTGAGTTCTTATGTTTCCTTCTTTTATTGATTTTTATGCACTCTTATGAATTTTTTGATGATTGCATGAACCTGAGTGGCTAAGAACCCTATTATTCTAGGGTCATGGGTATACATGAATGTTGACGTTTGAGTTTAATTTGACAAAGTTGATTTTATCATATTGGGTTATTTATTTAATCCTGTTTTTAATTAATTTGCTGAGTAGCTAACAGTGAATTACTATCTACGAATCTAGAGTTGAACTCGAAAGTGGGAATTCTAGATTGCATACAGAAATTAAATAAAGCAAGTTCTTGAACCCGGGCATCGGGGAATGGATTCGCAATTATGATAGAAATATACCTAATAGTCTTGCTCGGTTGAAATACAGAAAGTGTAAATACATTCTTGTATATATTAATTCCATAGACATATAGGCATTTAGTTAGCTTGAATAGGCGAGTAAGAACTCGACAGATTCTTATAAGTAATATCAACCCTGTCAATCAACAATCCAGATAAATCAATTAGTTATTTTAAGCTAAGAATGCAATATGATTGTTAGATAACCCATGACCCTGAAATATTATCTCCTATTGATTGGTATTCGAAATTATTTAAGTGTTGTGGTTGATCTCTAGTATTTCATTACTTGATAGTTTTTAGGTAGTAAATTAGAAAATTATCTATTTTGTGAGAAATCGCTTGAATCGATAAGTTATTTGAGTTTGAGTTAGTCAAAAGTTAATCATAAGTCTTCGTGGGAACGATACTCTACTCACTACTATATTACTTGACGACCACGTATACTTGCGTGAGTGTGTTTGGTCGCAACAAATTTTTGGCGCCATTGCTGGGGATCTAGAAATTAGCTACTTGACTGAGTTAAGCTTTTATTACTTATTTGTTCAAGTTTTAATTTTCAGTTTGCCTTGTTTGTGTTAACGCAGGATCTTCTCTTGAATGCGGAGGAGTAGAAGTGCAAACAACCTCCTTCCTTTTGATCCAGAAATTGAACGAACACTTCATAGAGTGAGAAAGAAAGTCGAAGCTAGAAAGAGAGTTGGACATCGTAGTTCAACTACAATCAATAGAGATGGCAGGTAATAAAGAGCGTCCGGTGATAGAAGCCGCAAGGCCCAATCTTGCTAATATGACTCAGGCTATCGTGAAGCCTGATATCACTGGGCATTTTGAACTCAAATAGTACATGGTACAACTGATTCAATCCACAAGGCAATATGTAGGTCTATCTCATGAAGACCCGCAGAGACACATTCAGAACTTCTTGGAAATTACGGACACTTACAATTATCCAAACGTTTCCAAGGATTAT